ATAAATCCACTATTGTTATGTTGCTATTGCGTGTAATTGCTTTATAAATAACTAATTATAATTCGTTCGTATTCCCTAATACCTACAATTGGAATTAATAACATGTGTAATAGTGAATTCAACTAGTAATTACTTGCAAAGATAATCCAGAAACCATGGTTGGCAAGTTCTAAGCGCCTGCAAAATTATTGTTAGCAATTACACGGAGAAGATAAACTGCCTTTTTAGAAGATACCTTTTGTGAAGGCGTTTTATTGTTTTTTTTAATAACTTTTTATAGAAGCTTCCTAAAATAGTGAAAAAAAGTATCTTTAGGCACAAATTAGGTAGTAAATAATAAAATGAAAAAGTTTTTTTATTATTGCGCATTTGACCTCCATCTCACCTGATGGAAAGTGACGATGAGGTCGACGATGGAGCATGCACACCTAAATAATGCCTATTCACGCTCGCCTTGAAAAGATCCAAGTTAGAACGTTATAGTTCAGGGAACAAGTCTGCAGGCAGGGAATTCCACTCCATAGCCAATTATATACTGCTAGAACCATGAAAAACGTGAAGTGGCCCAGCCAACCTGACGTCAGAATGGCTGGCCACTTTATTTCTTTAATATTTCCATTAGCGCAAAGGTATGGGTAGTAAATAATGATCAGTTTTATTTGTATATGGCGTTTGGTCCAGCCATCCTGACAGACGTGTAGACTTGTCTGCAGTTAATTGACGAATAAATATTGTTTTTCAGATTTAAGATAGCGTGAGGAAAACGAGTCTTCCGTCTTCACATCGATATTTTTTTTTATTTCACGAATTAAACTAATATTTGAATAAAACAATACCTTTACCGCAATAATAATATATTTGCTCTAATACTGTACAGACCAATCCATTTGACTACTTTGTAACAAGAAATAAAATAAAAACATTAAAAACATCGTTTCTCAAACATTTTATATTTCTATTCAACATACAACACTGAATAACATACAATTTTAGAATATACCTATGATCTGTAGTGGTGTTTCGGGTGTTAATAATTCAAATGGAATGATATCGAGCTGATTGTATTCGATTACAAGCTTAACAACGTCATATTTCAAGTTATTTATTTAAATTAGGGCAAAAATCAAGCTTTTTTAAATTTGTATTTACAGCAGTATTTCCCGCGTATTCTACTGTCACTGCCAAAGATGCCGCGCTAATGTTGGCAGTTTCTCGCGGAAATCCCGCGCCACGAAAGTAATTGTGCCATGCATAAAATTGGTTGAAACCCCCGTTTTATAAATTCTTATTTGTGCATCGATAGTGGCTCTGATTTTTTCATCAAATATTCAGTAATGGCACTGCAGAGAATAAATAAGTTCAGAAAGTAGAGGTTAATTTTTTTGAGGTTAAGATTTCATGGCGCACAATCTTGTATACCTTTCTAAGTGTCTATCAAAAAACTGGAGCGTAACGATAAGAACTATATAGAGGTGTGGCTGGTCGGAGCGCGGAACTCCAAGAGCAGCTTCGCGAAGTGACGTTCTTAAGAAGTCTACTTCACACGGTAGTTGACGTGCAATTGTGGCTTGATGTCATACACCAAGTCCAGAATATCTTTGATCACCTGAAAGACGAGATAGGGAATCATAAATCTGTGTAAGAGGGCACATAAAATGTAAGTTATGAAGTTGTCTGGTAGGAGATGACACGGTTTTTCGAATATAATTGAGGAAATGGTCTTCCCGGTCAAAGAAAGTTAATTAGGTACCTATCAGTTAGGTTTAGACTTAGTGCCCTCACCGCCACGTGTGGTAACATGATCTAGCTGGTGGTCCATAATCCAGCAGTCCAAAATGATTTGTATCTAAGCAAACTTGTGCACTCAGAAGGGCCTGCGCAATGACGTAATGTACTTACCGCGCCCTTCTGTATTTCAACCTTCCTGTTCATCTCTTCAATCTTGGCCTTAGTTTCAGAATCGATTTTAGCGGCAACTCCTTCCCTTGTACCCAAGTGCTGTTACGAAAATAATGGAAAAATTATTAAAGTACATTCTACCATAGTAGGTTTATATTGGGTATATACCTAACTCAACATTTAAACTTTTAAATGTCAGAAACTAAGCTTTACATAACAATAATAATGAAATCAATAACAAAGCTATCGGGATTAGGCCTCCTACAAGTTTATTCGCTGATCCCTGGCAACGTTCAACCAGTCTTATCAAAGCTAATTTAGTGATGACATCAGTCCCTATTCAGGTTTTCCATTTCTAGAATTTCCTGTTGAACCCTTCCATGGCAGTTGTTGTCAATAGTGACTGTCATTTCGATATTAGGGTTTAGTTTAAAACATATGTCACTTTAGGCCAACCATAGGCCAAAAATAAAAATAGACAAATTACGTCATCCCCTCATCACTAACTGTTGTAACTAGCAATAGGCTTATTTGTCAGGGCAATATATCTTGACCGTAGCTCTTCACACCTTGCAGGTTACGTCAATCTAGTTCTATTTGTGAGTTGTTTCAATTCATAAAAAAGGAAGACATATAAGTATATTGAACAACGTTTGCTTTTGATTAAATTACGACAAAAATAAGTTAGTAACAAGCAGAGCAAATTATCCAAATCAGGCGAATATTACCTTGGCCTCAAACTCTTTGAACTGGCGTTCACGCTCCTGCCTATACTTTTCTACCTCATCCTGGGCCTCCTCCTTCGCCTGCTTTAGGCGTTTCGCTTTTCCTGTAATACAAACATGTTATTTTGAAAAACAATACATTGAATTGCAGGCAGTGCTGTTGGCATATTGTCATTTTTATAGATGATAAAGTTCATTCAGGCTCTCCAATTGAAATCTGATCTATATTAAGTCCTTTAAGAACTCTTTTTTTTATATCTAGAGACGGGACAAACAAATTGTGCGCTTGATGGTAAGCTGTTGCCTGTCCATTACAGTTGCAGTGCCACTCATAGCTTTAAATCACAAAGATCTGAGGGGCACTGACACAGCGCCAGTCACCTTGAGACGTAAGTTGACAAGTCCCATGTGCCTGTAATTTCACCAGCACCCTTGCCTTCACAACCGGAACACAGTAATGCTGACATTATTGCTTGGCGGCAGAAATAGGTAAGGTGACAGTACTTCCCAGGACGAACTCTTTCACAAGGAGCTCTACTGCTACGATAACTATCATTGTATGCAAAAGGAGAGCTTGTTGTTGGCAACCCTACATCAAGAACAATGATGGGGCGGAACAATAGTAGTATGGAATAGAATAGGCTTACAGGATTTCCAGAGCAAAACCTGAAGCATTTCATTTAAAATCAACAACAGAGGCACACAAAAAATCTCTCTGTTAAAACGCAATACATTAAGGGACTGTACAGATGGCAGCACAACAAGCTATACATTCACAGATATTGTTCCATTGCTCTGGAGGCAATAATCGAATAAAAGTGTAAATGCTTACTGTGCTGTTGATTGTACAATCATTAATGTTTGAATTGACTGTCTCCTAACCAATTTAGATATAATTTGGTGCATAGTTTATGGCATGAATTGGCAGTATTTTTAAATATGAACGTTACAATGAAACAAAATTAAAGTCACAAGCAGAATAAATTATCAAAGAAAAACCGTGCTATATTCAAGAACCTGTACCATTTAAATGTAACGTATGTTTGTAAGCATTGAAACGTCATACTCACTTTAACATCTGGGAAGGTATGATAATATATGTTTACATATCTTAACTGCCTCGGTGGCCGAACGGTTACCACGCCGGACTGCCACGCAGAGGTCCCAGGTTCGATTCCCGGGCCGGGAGAAATATTTGTATGACCTACATTTATTTCTCTCGTGAGTTTGGGTGTCATTTGTGGTTGTGTATGTGTGTGTCCATGGCACCCGCGACACAGGGTTTCCCTAGTGCGGGGCTATGTTGAGTGTGTGCGTTATTATTATTCTTATTATTATATCTTTTAAAACACAATTAAAATATTTTTATCAGATGATCCTAGTTCACTTTTAGCTATAAGATAGCAATGAATGGTACAAGGAACGCACTAAAAAGAAAATATAGAAATAACACAACTATCAAAAAATTTGGCAATCTACCCCAATAAAAGGCATATAAAAAACACTTTTTATTAGATAAAGAAGATGTTATCAACTATCCTAAACTGGTACGGTCATATATTCCCCATCATGTGACCTAGCTATATCACTTGAATGTGGACATTGTTATAGGAAATTTTGAATGTAATGCCTGCTGGAAAGAGATTAATCGACATTTAAAGTGGCAAAGTATTTTAAGCAACACACAAAAGACTGTATACTATGTTTACCCCAAGTAAGGTTGCAAGGTAAATTTGTATAAAGGCCCTACGCAATAGAAAATCAATATTTTTTCACTTACGCTTTCTCGCCTCTGATACTTTTTCGGCGGCGCGTTTCTCAGCGGCCAGCAATTGCTGGATTCCCTGTGTCTGGCTCGCCATTGTAGAAGAAACGAATTAACTGGTGTCAGGGAGAAACGAGCGAGACCGAGCCACAAATCAATACGAATCCCAGTGCGATGTGACGAAAGTCATATGATTAATTTAGTACCGCCATGTTGTTACAACTGGTGCTGTCATCGACTCGTGCTTTGTATTTTCTGCGTGGAACGCACTAAATTTTACTTATTTTTCCTACGCTCTGACTGTCACAGATCATTACAGTAATATGTTAATTTTATACGGATTAAAAGTGATGGAAAGTAATTTTTAAAGTATTTTTATGTAAAATTTAAACATAGAATATTTGATTTGGTAATCAAAAAGAAAGAGTTCAGCAGAATGAAACGCAAGGGCGAGGTTCTAGTTTTCAATCTTGTGAACAGATGGCACTGTTAGCAGCAGTGCTTTGGCAATAAAAATGTCTGAGTTGTTTTCTATAGAGATCTGCTAAACTGAGCTCTTCACTATATTCAGAAATATAATGTGCCAAAAAGAGACAACCATATAATTCAAGGCTGAAGCTGGTTGCATATCGAAACGAATGTGATGAGCAGATGAGTGAGATATCCTTGACCACTATAGACACAGAAATAAATCAAGATTTATCTTGATTTATTTCTGTGACTATAGAGTATTTTTTCGATAAATTTAAACTAATGGAAACATTGCCGAAAAAATTTCTGGAAAATCAATAAAATTGAAAAACATTGAAAAAATATCGAATCGAATGCTTATAGTTATAATTCGAAGGATTATAACGTGATTCGAAATTACAGTCGAACTATTTATGTTTTTCGTTCAGAAATTACTTTTGAAGTTTTATTTAGTGTAAAATAAAAAATAAAATAGCAAAACAAAAATGGAAATAAAACTTTAAATTGTGTTTGCTCCTCCGTGTACGGTTTGACAGGTGTCAACGTCAAATGCGGACAAAATTTAAAGAAAAATATAGATAAAATATGGGGAAAAGTATTTATTTTTCCAAAAAATATGATTCTTTCAAAGTTGAAATTTTTCCACAACTCTACCTTCGACTGGGGCCATCGCCAGTGCCAAGGACATGCTAGCATTACAGTTACACTCAATATTTTTCTAATTCGTGCGACAGATCATAGCATACAACCTGCAACTAGCGCACAAGACATTTCCAAACTAAAGTTGTAGGAGAGACCACAGAACCTGAGAATATATATCCAAATCAAATATAATAATAGCATTGTAGGAAGAGCATATCGTCGCCTTACTCAAACTCGTATCTTATAAAGAGTGGATTATTCAGGAGGCGGCAAAACTTTCTATTTATTTTAAATTTCTTATCAGGAGGGTTAATTTGGATGCCTTACTTGAAGTATAGATAAAAAGCCAGTATGTTAATATGAAGGAAATGCGATGTGAAATAAGCCTGCAAAATTTGTACATACAATCCACTTTTTGCAATTCAGTAACTTTGTGCTTTAAGATACGAGTTTGAGAAAGTAAGGCGACGATATGCCATAAATGTGCTATGTTAACTGAGGCTAGTTCTACAGACAATTAATTTTATATTAAGTATACAATTCTAATATAATTAATTACATAACGTGTATACATATAAAATTAATTGTTTTCAGAATAGAATTGCTACACATTCGAATTGAAATCATCTCACACATATCCGGTATATAAACCACAAAAAAATTGTTTAACAATCCAATTTAAAAATCCAATTGTTTTAAGGATTTTTCAATCTAACAGGACAGGTAAAAGGAATCAAAACAATGATACGAGTTTTCATTTAATCATATCTGATGTTTTGTTTTACTTTAATTATGAAAAATTACATTTGAATCACTATATTTATCATCAAAGTAAATAACATTTACCACAATAATACGAGTACATATTTTAGCAAGAATTTGTTTATTTTTAGACATTTAATGCTTACTGTCACACTGATAGTACCTATACTTACAATGAATCATTCAAATATCTTTGAAATTGTTATTATTTAGATAATCCTTTTAATAACGCGATCGATAACCGTTATGTTATTTCGTTAACCGTTACGTTATCATTAATTTGCCGCGGGGACCTAATTTTCCTCATATAATTTTAAAATCCCAGTTTTAGTTTCTTAAAGAGCTCCTTGTGAACGAGTTCGTCCAGGGAAATACTGCCTGTGTGCATTACTGCGTTCCGGTTTAGAAGGGTAAGGGTGTTGGTAAAATTACAGGCACATGAGACTTGGCAACATATGTCTCAGGGTGACGGGCGCAGTGGCAGTGCCCCTAAGATCTTTGCGGTTTAAAGGCAGACCTTTAACTCAGAAGTGGCACTTCAATTGTTATGAATAGGCGTGTCGATTACCACCAGGCGGAAAAAGACCTTATCTACCTGTATATTTTAACTTATTGTCTAATAAACAAATATTTGGCAGAACAGAATTAATAACGTACCTAATAAGCGAAGATCGGATTGAGCGGACTATACCTATGTATCGAGTTCTTAGGTTTTCGCGATTGTTACACATAGGAAATGATACTATTTTTCCGGATTTAAATCGCGTATATTTGTTTTTTCAAACAAACCGACGTTTTGATTTTTTATATAGCTGCGTCAAACAGCGTCGCGTAAACAAGTCTGTAGGCTGCGAGCATGTCATGGAAAATCTACACTTTCAATGAAGTTTGACAAACCCCAGGTCCTTGCAAAAGAAGTCCGTTATCTACCCCGGATGCTGCGAGAGGCCATTGAAATTAAAAACATCCTAATTTCAACAGGGAAGATGGTTTCTCCGTACCACCAGTTTGGGATCCAGTGTTTCCTCTAATGAAAAATCTCAAACAGAGATAAGACTGCAGTACTAATTAATATGTTTTAATTTATTCTAATTTCTATTATTAATTAATAATAAAATGAACTTAATAAAAATTCATTCAATAAAATAATTTGTAAAACTTAATGTAGCGTAAATTGGAATGTTTTCTTTGTAAAATAAAAAATAAGATATTTAATTAATAACTATTGTAACTATAGTGAAAAAATAGGGTGGTTTACATCAATATTAGACATAACTGGTTGAAGACTGTACCACCTCAGTCAACCGTGACCATGGGACCTGTAAAGGGCCCGAAACGTCGGTTTGTTTGAAAAACAAATATACGCGATTTAAATCCGGAAAAATAGTTTCATTTCCTATACCTATGTATTTAATTAAGCCTCGCTTTCTCTCTAGTAACAATATTTCTTTTTAAGATAGGTACATACTCGTACTTAAGCCTTTTAGCGCATAATGACAATTTGAACGGCAAAATCCTTAAATATTACATAATTTATTATGTCGATTTGTTTTTATTGATAAATACCGTTTAGCTTAAACCGGTTTGCGCACTTTCCGGTAACCGATTTCAATAAAACTTGGTCATTATATCTAATTACATGTACTTTTGAGATCGGTTTTTTTAGTACTCTGTACTGAGATTATTCTGTATCCAATGGAGCAATAAACATTTTGGACGTAACTTCACTTATGCCATTCTCCATGACGGGTGGGAAATGATAATTTTTGTTCTTACGCCCAATCGCTGGCGAGATAATTTCCGCCATAATTATCATTAAATCGTGTGTATATTTGCATCAACTCCAGTTTGCAAACGAAGAGGTGACAAGCGAGCAGATTTTTGAACAGTGGTCCCTACGTATCGATTAAGGTTGTTAATTGATTACCTTTAGGTGTGCTTGCCATTTTCAGAATAGTGATCGATCTTCGTATGATTAGTTCATCATCTTATCGTAAGTAATATTCATCGTGAACAACATCAAAGCATTTTTCTACAGCCTCTATACATATAAGTATGACAAACTTTGGACTGCCATGTGATTCAAATATAATGCAATGTAAGTTATTCCTAAGCAGACTTTTGGGTTCGTTTTACTGAACAATCTTCAGCCACTATATGAATTAGCTAATGGAATTAAGATTCTAAGTTAGCAGGTGAATCGACTGTTACGATAACTAAGTTAACACCTAAAAATATACTGTTAAGTTGTTTCAGCGCATTATACATTTTATTGTCAATATATCAACATCCTTTTAATCCATATAATACATCCATATAGATTTAAATTCAACAGGTGTCGTCCATTCAACGGACCGGCCGCTAGACCGAGCAAATTAATTACTCTTTTAATTTTTTATTGCTCTATGTGAATCTATGTTTTTTGACTATGGCTTGTACATGGTCAACAGCACGTCAAGCTCATGACTTAAATCCAATCTATATCGCTTACGATAAGAACGGTCCAAAGTACCAAGTGTCAAGCTTCATGTGCTCTTGATTGTACATACTTTCGGTTTTGTTTTGCAAGTTTTCCTTTATAGTATAACTTGGAATTACTTTACCTTAGAGCTTAGCTTGCTAAACATTATGGTCCTTTAAAAACAACAAAACTAAAGGTAAACGTTGACTTAAAAAAAAAACAATTATATAGTTAACAGCACATCGAGTTACACACTTTTGTTCGCCTCCAGGGCAACAACGAAACAAAATTCGTCAATGTGTAGCCTGGCCGTCTGTACTAACATATTACGCCATTTACGCCCTCTTATTTGATGTACGCTACCCACGAATATTTCACGGAATTGTGTAAATGTGGTATGAGGTTCAAGCAAAGAAATTTAATTATACTTACAGCGTTGGTACCTAATTTTTTAGAAAAATATTTAAAAATATTATTCTAATATGTTCAAAAGTATAGTTAAGTAGAACAAATCGTCTGTTTTAAGGTAAAACCACATAAGTGACATTTTCCACTAAAAACTTGTAAATTATGTACCTATATACCTGTTGTAAGAAAAGCACAATCTTTCTATAGACAAAACTCTTAAAATTTTTTTTTTCGGTTTCACGTGCTAAAGAAAGATAGTGATTTTCTTACCATAGCTATATAAATTAAAGACTTTTTGTTTAAAATGTTACTTATGTGGTTTTACCCTTAAACAGACGAAATATTAAATTCAATTCTAGTAAGAGTTTAAAATATACTTGTCAAGCTACTAAACAAACTACCACTTTTTTGAACCCGGGACCTGTGTCTGGCAGACGAGAATGGGAGCCGTTCAGCCATGGAGGCAGTTAAGGAGGCTGTTCATTAAATTGGTCATGTGACGAGTTGTTAGCTAACTTTTCAGATTTTATTGTTTTGTATCGGGGTTCAAAATATTTTTTTTTTATATAACAAAAAACCGATCTCAGAAGTCGTAGGGAATTATGTATATTTGTCAAGTTTTATTGAGATCGGTTACCGAAAAGTGCGCGAAACCGGATTCATCCCCTTGTTTGCCACCCTTAGAGGTGGATTATTTGTATTAAATTTAAATCTGACCAATACTAAGGTACCCTCTTGCAAACAAAAAGAATCATCGAAATCAGTTCACAAATGCGTTATCGCGTAACATGCATACAAAACATACAGTCAAATTAAGAAATTCTTCTTTTTTGAAGTCGGTTAAAAATTAAATTAGTTTTTTTACTTATAATAATTATTTATAATGCGTAAGGAGACTATTTATAAATGAAGTAAGGTGCAATTTTCAGTATAGTTTCACAGTCTGTATACATATATGTAAAAAGATGTAAAGTGCATCAACATCCCTTGTTACAACGATATACATTCACATAGTTTTTAAGAGCTTCTAAATAAAACGCGACAATTCGTAAAGCTTAAATATGTGACCAAAACCATTCCTCCGAAACTATTTACGGCAATCCATAAAGCCTCCATAAAAATGCTAGTTAACGAACAATTATACCAATTGTGTCAATTTATCTCATATAACATCACAAACTACGGGAGGCCTATTATCCAGCAGTGGGTGATGTCTGGTGGTGGATGATTGCGATGAATTTGTGACCGGCCACATTACATGTAAGTGGATTAAAATCTTTATTATGATTTAATGGCAGCTATTATAAATCTCATATTGTAGCTAAACGTCTATTTTACATAAAAAATATGTAAAGTGTAAATAGAAAACCGACACGACCAGGCACGATATTTAAAATAATTTAAGCAAATACCATTATGACCAAAATGATCGTTGTATTCACTCACAGGGGAATGGGGAAGAAATACACACTCGTGCCATCTCGCTTTTCCATATCAAAGTTAAATGAAATAGAAATAGCTCCGTACATAACAACATATCAGCCACAGGTTAATTGATATCGATTAGCACATTGTACATTGACGTATTTTTTTAGCAATTGCAGTATTCCTGTCTACTCAGCGCAGCAATGAATACTATATATTATGAAATGTTTGTAAGACCAATGTAAATGTAGAGCATGGGTCCTCGCCCCCCGTTCGGCGTCACGTCACTGTTTTCTTTATCATTTCAGTTGCAAACTTAACGTAGTATGGCCGTCGTTTGGAAGTATTCACAGTTTTACTTCCACAAAGAATACGCGATAAACATTGCACAGAGCGAACTTAAAAAGACATTTCTTAATAAATATTTAACGCGAGTGAGATAAACAATAATTCTGAGTGTGAATTATAACAACAACAGCACGAAATAACCTGCAATCCCTCTGAGATTTTCAAGTTTTTTGGATTATTACGAAGAAAATATTCAAAATGTGGTTAGTCAGACAAGCGAACTCGTTGATTTTGGAAGTCAAGGTTGACCCAAATGCCATCGGACAACAGTGCCTTGAGAAGGTGAGCATCTTTTGTTAACATATTTATTCCATTCTTTTACATCATTTCAGTTTCTACATAATTTCGCGGGAACATTGTATACAATTTTTGTTTTGTTTTAGTAATGTTTTAGGGATAATGAAAAAGCTCCTTTACTAACATCTGGAATCAATATTAATTAGAATCTTAAATTGGGAACTGGGTGCATTGTCTAATGAAACTTAAAAGTTTTTTCGTCAAATACAATTTTGCCAAGGGTTGTCATTTTAGAGCCTCAAGTACAGTAATAAGAAATCTGTATTGATGAAGTCAATGTAATAGAAAGATAAATTTATATTACAAAAGCATTGTTCGACACGTTCGCGCGACGTCACTGTGTTACCTTGCGGACTTTGGACTCGGCGTGTTCACGCCGCCTCTACGTGAAGCGATCGAAAATTCAAATGCAATACTTATTAAAACTCTCTTTACTAAGCCGACTTTCTTGTTTAGCAGTACTTTTGAGTATAATTTATCATTAGGTGGCAAGTATCAAACTTACTTAACATTTTTCTTTACGTTTCGTTAATAATTTCTCAATTTCCTGTTTAGATAAAACTGCCTTATAAAAAGACCCAGGTACCTATGAACGATATAATTTGCATTATGGGACCTTATATTCACGTACTAAACCGTTTAACTTCGAAGTGTGATCTAGCATATCCATCTTCGCACATAGAATACATGTATATCTAGGTATTACATACTTTATTTGAAAGGGCGTATAAAAAATCAACAAACACACTTATTTCAGAAATATCTATCGGCATGTTTCTCCGCCAACACTGCCCGTGTTAATATTTGGCGTCAGTCCAAAAGCAACACATTTTGAATTCAGAACAATTTGGTTTTAATTTCTATTTGTGACTCGGGTTTTATCTCAGGGGTACCTCAAGGTTTCTTTTTATTATGACTTTGCACCGACCGAAGTGAGCAACTTTATAAAACAGTTTTTAATTTGCATTACAAAACATAAAAACTTGCAAATAGATCCAATAGAATCTCGATCGCTCAAGGCAGTCTATTACTATCGAAAGGCCCTCGCTCGACCGGTGTTTTTGCTTCATTAAGCACTAAATTTATGTTGTACAAATGCATTTATATTCAATGGTAGGCAAAGCTATACCTTAGCTATTTTATAACATCAGCTACCTACCGTATTGCTGAGATTACACAATTTGTCTACAAGTCTTGTAGAACGTTGGTACATTTATTATAGGTACTTAAATCGTGTCTATTATCTTTTTGTAATAATCGTATGTCTATATGATGTAGCTAGGTACCCTTCAATACTTAATCAGAAACAAAAATTTCATTCGCATATTTTCGTTCCTTCTAAATAAGATTCTACTACACGAATACTACTACCAAATGGTTAAATTGGTAACGACTAATTGTACAATAGTTAGACTGGAGATGCGTAAAATGTAACGACAAATAGACTGTTTTAACTTAATGGTGACATAATTCAATTGTTTCACGCCATGTAGTTGTAGTACTGATATATCTTATCTAGCTTAGGTACAAATAGTGTACCAACGGAATATAAATGTATAATTCGTCAAAAAGGCCCCACGTACGAACAAAATACTATTGAAACTTAAAATATCAATGCCGTAGAGCGTACCAAATACAAAAATCAGTCACGCCGAATCAACACTTCAGCGCGCGGCGACGGTAACCGAGTCCAAAGTCCAACAGCTGTGAATTTGAACTCTCTACACGTGCTCGGTGCGTGATCGCCCCGTTTTTTCTTAGCGCTCTTTTGTACGTACGTAATGTTGGCAGGCCTTACACTAAATGAAGGATGTTCTGCTGAGTTAGCATTTTCATGTTGGTATATACTATGACAAAAAAAATGTTTACAAAACAATTTTTTTGCTAATTTCTATTTCCAAAATCGAAGGTAGTTCCATTTTGTTTAAAAAATTTAGCCTAGCCCTTTGGATTTGTAAAAATTTATTACGAGTGTTTAATCTTCGTTAGTTCACCGCAGTAAAGGCTGACGTAAACTGGATAAATTCACGCTCTAATTAATTCCTTGGTATTTTTATGTATAGTCTAGGTTGAAAAGTAAATGGCGGCGGCGCCACGCACATTGACTTTCTGCAGAATGAGTTCGTTAAATTTGGCAACGCTAACAAAACTTCAAATCTAAATCGCGTGGTCCCCCAAATTACCGCCGCCGCCATCATAGTTAGTACCTTTAGGTACCCTTTGATCAATAATAATATGTTTAAAGTTGCTTGCTATTCGGCCATAGCTCACAGAAAAAATATATTATACAGGGAACTTCGTTTAAAATAGAGTCTTGTATCATTGATATAATGCTCATATTTGTAGGTCAGATTGTAGTTGGACGCGGGTACAAAGTCCAATCATATATTTAACTCAAATCAACACGTCCCAGGGTTTGTCAATGTATAGAGGTTAATGCGATCATCTCCCATTTGATACACGTCTCTTTCAAATGTATGGTATCCTGTTACCATTTCTGCTAAAATATTTTTATGCTGGTATACCTACTTTTGTCGACTATGGTATTTTTACGCAGAATATTCCTTGTTAAATAAATAAACTTAAAACCGAGTACAAAATTAGGTTAGGTTGCAAAAATGTGCAATAACTTTTAAGCTATTTCATCAAATAATAACATTTATTATGTGAATTCAACATTATTAATGAAAATAATGCACGTGTCAGTAATTATCAATTTGCAGATGCTTGCTAGTTAAATAAGTACTTACGTTTTGTAAGTAAAATTTGTAATCTATTTATCGCTGAATTTATAAATAATGGATGTTATGAATAATAACCAATATGAGGATATATGTAATACTTAAATTTTGTTGATAAAATTATCTTTATTATTGTGTAATACTTAAGAAGCAAACAATTAAAATGCATATAATTAATTCAGTACACTTAATACAATCATAATAATATTTCTGCTAAATTCCAATCTGCCTGGAGTATGTTGCGACCGAAAACATTTCGCCTTTGTTAAACTTTCCAATAGTCTCTATGGAGTTTGTACCTTGACGTCATCTCGGCCCCCGCGTTAGGCAACCTATTGTTCGTCACGAAATATCCTCGTGTTTATGAACGCCTGGTAGTCGCGCTGGATAAGACAAATTTAAACTAAGTTTTAAAAGAGGTTTGTTTTATTATTTTAACCAAATTTTATCTGTAATCTCTTCCTACCCCGCAGGTATATGTGCAAGAATTATTGTTTAAAGACATTTGAAATAGTTAAAATTTAAAACTTCAATATATTTCTGACTCATAATAAGAAACCTCGAACGTAGTACTCGGAAGTGAATTGTTCAACTGGGTATTTTATGCCTACAAAATACAAAATGACCTTTGTACCAGGCACAATAAACAATATATTGTTGCTAAAGTATTAAATTAACGTCATGTTTAACGTCGTCATACACGGGCTGTTTAAATACATGACAAATGAGTGTACAATTTTTTTAACTTCTGCTTACAAAATCAACATTGATATCAAAGGTCGATTAATAAAACTCACAGTTTAACGTTACGTAAATGGATTGTCTTAATTAGAAAAAATTGAAAACGGCCAAATCAAAACACCTCAACGTTTGCTTCCAACCAGAATCGACATTATTAGCCATGAGCCCGATTAGTATAAATACATATCCATGGCTAAAATCTTGTAACGTGCAGAAACCCGTTATCTGCATACACAAACTTTCACCCGTCATTCGTTCAGACCGATTGCTTTCGCAAACATTAGTTGAATTTTAAAAACCTATATTGTTCTTATTCCGTCCCATATCACATTAAAGAGAACAGCGATCAGCATTGTTATAACTTTTTACTTTTTGGCGATTTAACTAATGCATTTGACAGAGGCACGACATGAAATTCTTTTAATTCAGGATTCACTAATAAGTTTTGAACCCAAATCGTGCCAAAATGAATCTTACGAATTGTATAATGTAAGATAAAAAAAGCAAAGAGAAAGAATGAAGTCATGAAATGCCGAACAAGGGAAGGGTTCCACAAGGTCCATAATTATACCCTTAATTGCTGATGTAATAATATGACTTTTTAAAATTTGGTCAAATGTTTAAACAAAAATTATGAGTATTTTATTAATCTTAATGTACGTGCTTACGTTGGAAATTGATGACCTTATATGCTTGCTATTTTGAAACGCTCGTTTCGTAAAGGTCAGTTAAAAATATATGTGTTGCTTCTAATTTAGTATTCTCGCCTAAAATAGAATTAGATCTTTCTTGGAATAAATGAAATCAATCCAAAAAATATGCTTTAACAACTTATTTAGATAGTGATTGGGTTACCCTAAGTTATACTAACAGTTAAGAGGGAGCATGCCAAAAAAGTTTTGACGTTGGCTCCGCCCAAATTTGTGAAACAAATATATGCCTGAAATTCCCGTGACATGCGACAGGAGATGTTGAATTTTGCGCATTAAAAGTACCAAATTCGTTTTAACGGAATAACTCTAAAAATAAAGAGATGTAAAAAAATCCGTAGTGACAGTTGTCGATCATGCATAAATATAATTAATTATCTAATTTTTGTCCTAATAACCTGTAGCATTTCGAGGATAAATCGAAAAAATGTGAAAATTAGAGGTCATTTCGTGATTTTTATCTATAGAGAAGACTTTATTGTTTTATGTTTCTGTTAAAGTGGATATACATACCCCTCTAAAATCAAATCGAAGATTAGGAATTTTTCCTCTGCTCCCTCTTAAGGAAAATGTTGCGATAAATTTAATATAATGACCAGTAGTTATACTACTATGTAAGGATGCAGGATGTGAGTAACGCTTGGGTACAAAGTCTAACATTTGGACTTTCCTGTTGCGGCTTGAAAGGCTTCACATAAATAATTGACACATAAGTTTTTGCCCGCGATATTAAGTATGTTCATTGAAAATTTTTGATCGAGTAGCATATAACTGAATACCATTTTATTTAATT